TTCTTAAGTTTCTGGTATGTTATGGATATATGAAGAGAATTTATTTTTTCTTCAGTTACCCCAACATACTCCTTTTTAGAGTGTACTCTTTTCTATGATCTGCCTACTTACCATTTTTTCTCTTTTCTTAGTAAACAACTTACCATTTTTTAAAAGTTCATTCTTTTTCCAGTTACCCCCAATTTACTCCTTTTGGGGGGTTATCTCATTTTTAGTTACCCTTACTTACCCTTTTTTAAGACTTTACTATTTTTCCAGTTACCCCAAGTAACTCCTTTTTGAGGGTTAACTCTTTTTTTTAGTTAACATCCACTTACTCTTTTTAAGTGATTACTCTGATACCACCAACTTACACCTTTTTGATTGTTAACTCTTTTTTTAGTTACCCTACCCCCAAAGGGTTCTGTTATATGTGCATATCAAGTCATTAAGACGAGAAAACATATTTTTATAATGAATATGTATGATTATCAGGAAGATGCAAGAAATCAAACAGAGGAAGACTTAATTTGGTATTCTGCATCTTACAGGCTCTTTTTAATATTAAAACACTGGGAATAGTTGAGTGAGCTTGCATACATCTTGCATTCACGTCAAATGCAAAAAGGGGTTATGGCAATTAAATGTATAGGATAGTTTGAATAAAATGATTATTCTGATTTAGAGGATACTTGCCAATTTGATAAGTAAATTGCTTCTGGAGTTGAAGAGAGGAAATCTAAACAAATATGAGGATTAAATTTTGCCGACAGGAATTTTGTTTTGATAAAGACACCATCTTGAGGACCTTGATAATAAAATGGTTTTTTTTATGTGATAACTTACTCTTTGGTCCTCAAATGGTATATCTTGGAATATTTGTCAATTTAGTTTTCTCAATGTTATGATCAAAACATGCATCAGCAGATTTTATAAAAGGTTAAGGTAACACAGTTTGTTAGTTTGGTCAGTACTGCAAGTCATGCATTAAAGTATTTAAAATAATTAAAAACCGTTGTAATAATTAATCCAAAGCTGGAATGGTAAGGTAAAATATCACTAGAAAAATAATCAATAAAAAATAGCAATATGATTATTTAATATCCTAATGAATAAACTCTGCTCTTATGTTCAATGAATACTTTTCTTTTTTGACCCCAGTATAACATAAAGATGTTATCGGGAACTAAAATATATGAGTTATCTGGGGGTACACATTTTTTCCTGATTATAGCTTGCCAGTGGACAGAAAAGTGAAAAAATACCAGAATTGAATGAAATTACAGAAGCACAAAAGAAGGAGCCTATCCTCTTTCCCAGGCCAGTGATACCAAATTATATATAAAGAACAAAAAACAACCATGAAATGCGTGATTAAGCATACATATTAATAAGCTATATCTTACAGAAATCGTATTTAATGAAGCAATTCGTCCACTTTCCTTTTTTAAAAAAGTGTTGCATCATGCTTCCTTTTCAGATGAATGATCTGGAGCCATTTGTCCGCTTGTATTTTTACGGAGACGATGTTTGTTATAATTTAGATTTTAGTGTTACATGTATTGAAGACAATTCTTATATCATTATCGCATGGTGCTGATGTTCACATTGCAATATCTCAGATAAAGTATATGGTATGCGTTATTTCAAATAAACCACTGTTACTTTATAATTACACTAGGTTCAAGTTTAACCGTGACCGTAGACAAAAACACAAGGGCCTCTGGACCGTAATCAAATAAAGGCAGAAAAAATAAAAACAACACATATATATATTTAGATTGGGGGAAATAAAAGGTACTGGTAATTTTGCGCTCTTTTACAATATGTTGTGGCTGGTGCTTGAATGATCTTGTTTATAAACATTTATATCCCTTTTCCTGAATGTTATTTGGTGCCTGTATACAAATTTTCATGAATGGCAATTCTAGGATTTTTGTTCATTAAAATAGACTTTGTATCATTTTTTTGCCATTTAAAGAAACGCCGATTAAACAGCGATTAGAGTAATACTGGCGCGTCACAATTATATACAGCCATGTTTTATGTGTATGTGGTCATTCAATTGATCAGGATCACCAACCATACTCCTGATTGGTTCTTATATTAAGGGGTTTGCAACAAGAAAACATGTAATTGTAATGTTTTTTTCTTCAGAACTTTGTTCATGCTTGACTGTAGCATGGGCGTAGCCAGCTTTTGACAACATGTAGGCCTATAAAAGGGGGTTTTGGGCATAGCCCCAAGAATCCAAAAACAAGTTCATATAAAAAAGAGCAAAAATGCACGTTTCAAATTATTATTCAAGGAAAACATAAACAAAATATAATTTTATGCTATGAATTTGATAAGATGCAAACTATACTGAGGACGGTACAGCATGCATAATCCTGAAACAGATTTGATCGGACCGTACGGCTCGAACCCAATACCAACGCACCCACCTGTTTTAAGCTCACCTGTCACAAAGCTTTTGTGATCACTTTTGATTTGGCGTCCGTCTCTGTTACTTTAAACATTTAAATGTTTCGCATGAAGCATCGTCTAGTTAGTATTTGAGATTTTAATTTGAACTTTTTTTTACACTTTTTAGAAAAAATAATAAACAAATAAGCACAGAAAAATTCATGTTAGTATATTTTTATATTACAGCAATATTTACTTTAATATAAACACACGTTGGCGACAGCGGCGCAGTCCAAAAAGTTTATTGGCGTCAACGTAATAATAACGTGTTCAACTTGTGCTTCAACGTTACAGTCAATGACAGTTACTGAATCTTAAAATTATGTCCATCACTAATTTTTATACCACTTATTCTAATACTTGTGCAAGTTTATTTTTCTATTCATCGGCTGATTTTTATCAAATATTATGTAGTTGTCATTCCCTATGATCGTTTTATGATTGTGCGATTTTCTAATTTCCAAGTGTCCGTCATTTTCCCTTTTTTATCGGCGTCTAGTGTTTTTAACAATATCAACAAAAATTAACAGAAATGACGTCCATCATTTAACAGAATTACTTCGATGACGTCATAAAAGAAACATGTAATGCTTAATGAGTTTTCTACGTTATTTTTTAGTCTATTAACAATTTCATATGTACATATTTGGAACTTAAAGTGCTAGCATAATGACATGAAATATGATGTTAAGCGCAGCAATTTAAAAAAAGAAAGAAAAAAAGTTATGCCGTTTAGTTGCCCGTATGCATTTAAAAGGAATAAATTGAGGTAATATTTGTCTTTAATACATATGTCGCTTGTTTGATCCTTTGATGAGACGTAATTCTTCTGACAAATTATCTTTTAAATTGCATTCTACGGCCATTATGCTATTTCCTAATTCGTAAGGTTTGGAATCGATCACAAGCAGACAAAATATTGATTGTTGGTTAGTTTTCTAGGAACTCTAGAGTAAAGGGTGACCAACCACCGAAACATGAAGTTTGTTTAACCTCAAACATGCAAACAATTTCATAACGTTTAATATGCTTCGTACTAGTTACACTGGACAAATATATATGTGCACTTTTTCTTTGATTTACCGTTCTCTTCTCAGAATGGCTAATGCAAAAGTTTTAGATTCGCAACCTTGTTATTTTCATATATAAGCTTATTTGTTCAATATATTAATCATATATTTTCGTGTTTTTTTTTTGTTTTTTGTTTTTTTTTAATTCATTAAAAGGGTCATGTGAGCCTATAATCATACTGTTGGTATGTAGTATGTGCAAATGACTATACATATTAATATTTTACAAAAAAATCCTATATTATCATTCACCTGTGACATATTACATTATCAAACAAAAGGCATAAGCATATGTAACTCCTCAAAGTGATTACACAAATTAGTCTTCATGTCGAATTGGTACTACATCAATGGTTTTATTATACGCCAGTTCATAAGCTTATTTGTTTGACTTTGCTAATGAGAATGGCTTTTGCACGGAAGAGTTGTCTTCAACTGAAAATAAATGAAATGTGTTTCATTGCACGTATCTTTGTACATATAATCATGGTTAATAGTAAACACAGCTTATTTTCGTCACTTTTATTGCAGATTTTGACACAAAAAAACTGTTTTTGATATAACGAATTTTTTTTTCAAAATCAAACTTGAATTGCTTGTCTTTACATTCGGAATCATTTACGAGACTTAACTGCCAAACAATGTTAATCATACATGGTAACGTATTAATGGTTTATTCCATAGTAATATTAAGTCTACACTAATACAGATAACATTAAATATGAAGATTAAGGGTATCTGTGCAACCATTCTGTAATGGATTTCACGTTAATTTGAATTTTTACAAGCGTTTGTTTTACAAAATTATTTACGATACTCTTAAAAACCATGCGTTTTACAAAATACACAACTTATTTTTTATAAATACCAATGTTATAAGACTTCAGATTAAGCTGATATAAATCTTGTTTGTAGTCATTTATGTAACCATTCAACAATTTCTCAAAAAAATCCCTTGCCAAACAGAAATGTTTAACATTTACGAGTCTATCATTTACGGGACTCACTCTCTTTCACCTTCTCCTGTCATTTATTCTTCTTGATTTGTTGAATTATTTCAACTTGTTTGTGAACGTTGGTATGATTGGAATCGTATTCTTCCACGTATACAAAGAAGTGTCCATAGTTGTAAAAATACGCATCTGAAATGTAAAATGTGTTTGTCACTTGCAGATAGCTTCTAAAAGTCATAATTGTGATATTGTTATTGATATTTAGACGTTTTGACTATTATAGATTTCAATGGATACTTCCTGTCACTAACGAATACATTTAAACTTATATTGCAATCACAAAAATGAAGTAAACATGAAAACAGGCGTGTCACGTATCTGGCTGAACTGTCCCGTAAATGTGTAAAATAATTGTGGAATATTCATTCGAGTAAAAGGAAATTCTGATTCCGCGCTTATCTGTGTGAACGAGGTAATATTGGAGTATGTTGTACTAATTATAGTAATGATAGAACGTTCTTTGGGGCAGATATGGTGAGTATTTGTCCTTAAATAAATTCATTATGAAAACTTTAAAACATATTCATAGATGTTTTGGTTAAATGTGATATGACAATTCATGCATCATGATACAAACTATTTTAATTTATCTAGATACTTAATATATATGTAAACAAACATAATCTGGAATTTTCGAGTTACTAACTCGAAATTTCGACTTGATAACTCGTAATTTAATCTAAATTCAAGATACTTTCTTTCATGTTAATCGGATGTATGTTGTGTCTAAAACACACATACAACCATCAGGTGGAGAAACGTACAAGTCAAAAACCCACCATAGTGTACACTGTGCAATATTAAAGTGTAAAGAAAGTTTTAAGTGGCGTGTATACGCCAGTTAGTCTTTGACGTTTCTTTATACTTATTATATTTTTTGTAATATTTTTAAAAGATATGTGTCCATTCAAGTTTTATTACATCTGATCCCTTTAAAAATTCAAGTTCAGTACGCCATTTGTGGATGTTGATTGAATTTGACAAAATTCAGGTTCAAATGATGAATTCTGCTAAAGCCGATGCGATTGCATCATAATGTTTACAATAAATTATATTACTTTTTAAGGTTTCGCTCGTATTTGTGTGTAAATAAAGTGATCAGCGAACCATGAATCATAATACATATCCATATAAATTTACACCTGTGAAAGTCTATGCATTTCTTAAGAAAATGTTTAATAAACGAAAGTAAATATGTATGGAACGTATCAATTAATAACTAATACAATTTTACTGTAGTTTTTCATGCAGATCTAAAATAATTGGCCTCCATTGACTTAGTTTAGCATAGAAATAATGAATGTTAAACAATTTAGAAAAATCGCATGCATTTTGCCCATTGCATGTTTTATTACTATTGTAAGGGTATGTCTACACAGTAAGACAATGGGTGTTCAACGGATTAAGTTAAAAGGTAATTGCTCTACATATTCTCAACAAGTGCACCTCGAAAATAAAACGATGTTAGATCCATTATACTGCACAAGAATGCAATTGCAAAATTATCAATTATGTGACAAAGCCGTGTATGACTTACGGATAATTGTTATTGTGTATAATAGGTATCAATCGCTTCTTAGATTACTTGATTCTTTAAATGCCGCGTCCTACAATGGAGATGATGTAAAGTTGGAAGTCTGGATAGACAGATCAGTGAACGATAGTTTGGATGAATTAACAGTTAAAGCAGCAAAATCATTCATATTCTTGCATGGAAAATATCAAGTTATTCCCCATGTTCAGCATGCTGGTATTTTCGGACAATGGATTTCTACCTGGAGGCCAGAAAAAGAAAATTCTGAGATTGCAGTTCTACTGGAAGATGATCTCACAGTTTCAAAGTTTTTTTATAGGTATCTTAAGCTCGTTCATAAAAAGTACGATGCATACCCGTATATAAATGGTTATACTTTACAAAGACTTTCTATGGTGCATCATATAAAAGAAAATACGCCACCCCCTTTGGAATCCAAGGAAAGTGTGTTTTTGTATCCTGTTATTGGATCGTGGGGTTTTTCACCCAGTAGGGATAATTGGGTTCATTTTCAAAACTGGTTCAAAACAGTTTGCGATAATAAAACATTAAGTCTGTATATACCAAACAATAAAATAAGCATGTGGTATACTGGAAGGGAACAACGAAGCGATGAAGTGTGGACAGTTTGGCATATGTACCATGCATATATCAACTCGGAGTACACACTTTATACAAATATTCCAGGTAAGACTATTATTATTATCTATGATATTTGCTAATAAATTGTTGGTTATATGATTGATTACAAAAATTGATGCATAAAGAATGTACATTTCTTTTTAATCTTCCTTTTTTATATTAATTGTATCTGCTTCAACTAAATAATAGTATTTTTCGTTGGAGTTGAACACCGCTATCATTTTTTTTTTTTTTTTTTTTTTGAAAATATGAAGTTACCAGACGATGAGTATGCATTCAAAATAAATTTATCATACAGGAAAGATTTCGTTTATGTATCACGTAAAAAGTGCCGAAATTGGCAAAACTCACAATTTAGCTCTTGACTTAGATATGTATCCAAGGACCCCATTGGAAACAAACATTCGTGTATTCATGGGCAATCCGAGGTTATTGCACACTACTTTATACATGTTTCCACTTACATCGTCACATTATCATAAATATGTTAAGTGATATCTAGTCATATAAAGGAAAGATACATTTGATATTGTCTGATATGTAAGTTTTTAGATTTTGTTTTTATCATCATTATTATTTATTATTTTATGAGCCTTCCATGATATTAATTTTCGAGATACTTCCAAAATATTCTATTACAACTTTGTTATATGTAATTGCATACGTGTTTTTATTATGTATACATGTATGTGTGTTTTAACCTGAATACATATATATATGTATCTTACTTTTAGGACATCTTGGGTTATCAACCAACTGGCGAGAAAAAGGTTTACATTACAAATCGCACTTTGGAAAAACAAATAAACTACTTCAAAATTGGTTAGACGACTTTGAAAACCTTCCAGCAAAGCCTTCAATGGTTGATTTATCAGGACAAATCTTACATTAACATTTTTGGCTTTATTGTTCTGGACATAATTAACATGATCATTTTAAATAGTGTCTTTCAAATAACATTTACTGGTCGAAGCACTAAAAATCTTGTGAAATGCATTTAAGAAGACAATTTGTTAATTAGGTAATATAAAGAAACAAACAAAAGCATGTTTTTAAACTTGATACTCCTCATACATATCTAGCTTTTTTAAATCACATGCCTTTTGTATTATAACATTACTTTTTACCATTAAATTATATTTGTAAATATTTTATCTATTTTGAAAGTTTAAGCCAATCATTCTACACGAGTCAGCCTAGTATCACAAATCCAATACAAATTAATGTTTTCTCTCTATTTTGCCAATACTTTGATTTTGCTAAACAAACAACCTTAGGTTTATTATAACATTCTTGAAGTTCAAATACCTGTGGGTTATGGTTAACGTTAGGGTTAGGTTAACCCTTAGGCAATGTAAAGGGTGAGGGTCTGCTTAAGAAACAACCTTAGATTTTGTATAGCATAACATGTGAAATATCGATATGCATTTAAAACAAATGATTTAAGGAATCATTTGACTTTTCCAGACTTATCGTTGTATCATCTGCAAATTAGAGAAAAAAAGTCAAATATACAATAACATTTAAGGCTGGATACAAAATTATCAGTGTACAAAACATCATGTAAATGTCGACTTTTCTCAAACATGTATGTGATTATTTTTTCTCTTTTACAGCATATTAAAGCTTATCGTCATCTTAAGTGTCCTTAATAAATAGCAGTTATTGTAAATTAATAACAACAATGCCACTCAATCTTAAAATTTATAAGATGTTTCATAAAATAAACTGGAATATACTGGTCCGCGCTTGCACGTTAAAATTGCCATCACATGTTTCAAATTTTTTTGAAATAAAAAACAATAAAAAGCTAAAAACAATTCAACTCACTTTAAAATATTTATTAATTTATTAACTTATATACAATATTTATACATACATGTATATTAAACAAAATAAACATGCATCAGCGGCAATGGCCTGACACAAGAGGGATCAATTAAAATAGATGTGCAACAGTATGGCTATAAACAGGTATGTTATGATACAGTGTCATTCAATACGTACCGCGGTATAGAACCCCGCAACTCGATAGTTCCCTTAGTTGTCAAAACATAAGTATAAATGTTTCACCTGTATATATTCAAACATTGAAAATATCAGTTGTTTCTCTTTACATTATAATAGTAATTCAGGAATTGGATGAGTTTTAGTAAAGAATTATTATGCAAATAAGTTTAAAAAATATTACTTTATAACACACATACATCTGTATCCACAAGGATTCGTCATTTAAACACTGAATTCAAAAACACAAATACTTAAATCAAATATAGAATAGAGTTCAGCAAAATATTACATATACCTATGTGACAGTGTATTTTTCTGTTGCGTAGGAGAGGTTTCCCCGATATATTACCATATTTTGGCTTGTATGTAACTGAAATAAAATGTTTAATGTTTCCTTAAAATAGTGTTGTGAACTTTCCTAAACCATACAAACGCATTTTATGTAAGCGTATATAAACAACGGTTTTTCTTTCTTATGCAATACTTCAAAGTTACTTTCATTTTGTAAGGATAAATGGGTCACTTATAAGCAACCGTTTGTACACGATTTAAATGAAATAATTAATATGTGACGAATTATATAAGTTTGGAAAACGGTATGGGACATCTCTGCTGTTACTATATAATTCAATGTAAAATTCTTATGACAGATATCTGCCGTTAGAAAAAATCCGCTCCGCCATAAGCTATCCACTTCGCCATTTTACATGTCCGGCCGTAAGATTCCGCTCTTATAACAAAACTTAAATTATTTTTTTACTGACTGAAATCTGCCGTTTAAATACCCACCCCGTCGTTAGATATGTACAAAACCGCTGTAAATACCGACTCGCGCTTTGCTTCTGACAGAAAAATGATTTGTTGTTGTCAAATATACACTTCAGAGGATTTTAATAACAACGGTAATATTACTTAAAATAGTTACCTCTACGGCCGAATGAAATTTTCATTCCGGCAGTAGAAATTCTAAAAATAGTAACAATACAGTTTAAATGAAAGAATTTAACTGAATTGAACAATTTTCTGTCGTAAGCTTCATTGATATTTATATCTATAAGAGCGGGAGGTGTAAAATGTTTTCATTGGTCAATGCAAGACATTCCTCTTTCTTCCAGAAGTTTACATTTTTAAGTAACAACAACAATCAACAGCTCTGTGAAAGAATTGACAAACATCTAGTCAGTAGCTTTTTTATTCTAAAAATATCACACATGAGGCAGTGAGTATCCATATTTTCGTTATTTACATTTTGCTTTAAATTAAAAAAATGAATCAAAGTAAGAATTTTGTCAAGGTGTGTGGGGTATGATGAATATTTTGAAGTTTTATACAACATTTTGGACTTAAGTCATTTTAGGTCTCAGACAAAATACAATTGTGTTATATTAAAGAAAAGTACATGCAGGTCATATTTTTTTAGGCCTAGCAATGAGCAAACAACATAACAAATATAGGTAAAAGAATGTGTTGTGTACAATGAAAGGTCCTTCATATGAGAATGCAAGTTCTTTCCAGAATGTGGATGAAATGTGGTGGGGGAAATGATATACAGCAAACTTAAGGGCGGTTTACCAAGAGGTCATTTACACTTTGGAAAATGTGGAGATAAAAGTGAAGCAGGTATGTCGTATTTTTTCCTTGAAGTAAGATATTCTCTCATAAGAGTCATAAGTCACATACTGAGTAGCTGCCTTTAATCACTATGTGTGGCTCAACAGTTTAGATTTACCACAATTACTATATATAATTAAAATAATCTATAATAATATATGCCTCGGAACAAGTTACCTTGCCCGTTTAAAAAAAATAAAAATGTGCGAAAAACAAAATAAAAAAAGTTTCAAAAACAAAAAAAAATACAAAATATGCGAATAACAAAAAAAAAGTTTCAAAAAAAAAAAAAATAAAAAATAAAAAAAATTGCAAATGTCACTTTTATTCCACCGTACAGAAATAAATAAATCCATTTTTTTATCGATATGTAGCAGATTTTATAAATAATTGCAACTTTAGTGATGTCTCCCTAACCACTCATTTTGTGCACTTGAAAATATACATCGGCAATCAAAAAAGAGCTTTTTTTAAAAGTGTTTTTCGCATAAAGTGTTAAAAACCCTACAAATGTTGTCTTTAAACAATCAAGTATTTAGTTTTAAAAGATTTGAGATTTAATTTTTCTAAACTTGTATTTAAATATAGGTTAAAATATTTAAAAAAAAAAATGTGTACTTAATCCACTGGTCTCCCTAATGCCCGATTTTAAATATATATTGTCGACTTAAAGTAGATGTCAGATATATATATATATATATATATAATTAAAGTCGCAAAAAACTTGGGGCTGTAGTTTTAAACACATATAATGGGACATACCTCAAAGAAAGGTGATAGGACCAAAAGTATTTGTTTATCTTCAGTATAATATGTAAACCTATATATATATCAGCATTTCATGCAGATATAGCGGGATCTTATTATCCTGCAATTTTGGGTCTGACCCAATTTGTAATTGGACCTGTTGCCTTTGACATTTCACTTGTGACCTGTGGCCTGTGACTTGTGACCCAACAAACGTGTTGATATATTTAAATATACATGTATATATATATTTCCCTTTTTATATATGTTACATACGTGAACATATATAATTTGGGTCTGCCTTACATTGTTTATATTGTTTATAAAATTAGACCTTTATCACTGTATATCAGTAGTTGTAATATGACTTGTAGTATCAACCTCCCTAATACATAAAAATAGTCTACTGTTGACGTTTATTTTTTTCGGAACCCTTGTAAACATAGCACGGATCATTGCACTTCAGAGAAGGTAAATCATGTGTGTATGGATAGTATTGTTAATGTATTTATTGCAGTTGTCCGGTTAAGTGAGGTATACCATAGTTAGCACGAATATTTCGTGCTCGCCGGTCGTGACATGGATACATAATTCAAAGGAGGGTGGAATCGCCACTCGAGGACTTCGCATTGTAATGAACACATCGTATCCTACGCCCACACAGAAGCAATGCTTTTATTAAGGCAAATTAAAATTTTCGCATCCATTGATTGGTTGTTAACGAAAAAGTGTTTGTTGTGTTTGATTTAACTTGAAAATAATCGATATAATAGTTTATTCCGCAGGTTGTGAGCTTTCAAGATTGCCTGTCCAGAGACCATAAAACATGAATTAATTAAATTCATAGAAATACCAGTTATTATTTTATTGATTTGTTTACATCGATTTTGAAACAATACGAGGATCTTTATCCTACTTTAGTGTTGTTGTTTATTCTGTCCAAGACCGAAGATTTCATAACCTTTTATTTGGTGATAAATAATTTATTTTCGGTTAAGCAAAGTGAATCAGATAATAATACCTATTTACCACACTTCTTACAGCGAGATATTGTAATGTAGTGCGCTGGTCTATCAACTATACAGGTGTGGGTTCAAATCCCAGTATTTGTTTTGTTTGTTGAACTTTTCTTTTCAATGTACAGGTGTACTCAATTAAGCTTTTGTGCTACGCGTGACATAATGGCTTGCAACAAAATTCATCTATTTATTTTGAGTACACGAGTCCTGGGCTGTTTGGTTGAGGTGTATGTTGTGGCGCTGTTAAAAGGACGTCATCACACTTTTTGTACTTGGGGAATACTTTGTCATTTATTGTCCGTGGTAATCACCTATTGAGGTACTCTTTTGGCACTGGAGACGAATATGTCAGTACCAGCGCAACTTGAGTGTCACAGAGTTTAAAGGCATTGTTTGATTGATGAATTAAATAGAATTTTAACTTATTATATTTATACTTATTATATATGCTATAGCATTCTTGTGAATAAAAACAAGGAAAACGTATATACATGTATAAAAAATGTAAATAGAAAATAAATAAAATAAAAGTTGAATAAATATATGATAAAATACAAAAGGCCTAACACAAGTGGATTTGTTGGATTTGAACTCACGACCTTCCGCATGCAAAACAAGCACGCTATCGCGCCAGATAATATTCAATTTCCTGTTTTCCTGGTATTGTGTTTTCGTACGTGGCTTTTGGTCCAGCCACCCCTATGTACTTTAAGATTTAAGATTTTCCATTCTTGATCATATTTGAATCGACTGAAGTTTTTT